TTCTTAATTCCAGTTTCTTTTATTAGTCTGTAAAGCTGTTTGGTGTTACATGTAGTCGCTGCGTCCAGAGAGGCGTAAACAAAGTGCGTGATCGTACTAGAGCGTGATCGGAGTCCAAACAGGCATTCCAGAACGAGCAACAGTCTTCCACCGCACCTCTCTAACGGTGACTGGTGACAGTATGGTCTATTTGAGTCCATCATTGGTTTGGTTCAGGCGTTCGCCATGTTAGACGGTGTCTTTCCTTATGCTTAAAATTTTTGCTTGTTGAAAATAAACCATTGTCTGAGCACAGTTTTAGCAGACGGTCACCATTATCTGTTCGCTGAGCCAGAATAACAAAATACCCGTCTAAATACCTTTCTGTTTGGTTTAAGCTACCTACCTTGGCACTAAAGTCACCTGCTACGAGTACTGTGTCTGAGCGTTTAGCTTTATGAAGAAGTTCAGAGAGCTTTCTGTAAAGGTCATATTTCACTTCATCCGGGCTGCAGTCAGTGGGAGAGCAGGCAGAAACGACGTGTGTACCTATCCTTCCGAGTTCCTACAGAAGACCTAGCAACGACAGTGGATTAAGCTGCATGTGAAGGAAATATCAAATAACTATACGACACAACTAAGAAACTAGTAGGGAAATATGGTAAGCCAGAAAAAACGGTCAAGAATAGAAGAAGACATGGGAACTCTCAAATAGACCACCTTCATTGAATCTACCAGACGTCGAAGCAGTAAACACAGACCTTCCTATAGATGTCACGCCAGCTTAAATGCAACTAGAAGATTTGGATTATGCAGATTACAAGGCCCTTTTATCTCATACACATGAAAAAACGCAGGTCAAGACAGTGTAGCAGCAGTCTCCGCATCAGTAGGCCCCAACATACACAAGAGAAAAGCAACATCCTCAAATACAACACAGAGAACAACAGTCCAGTCACACTTCTTGGAGAAACTCTGGATGAGGTGAAAAGTTTCACGTATCTAGATAGCGTCATCGACGAACGTGGAGAATGTGATACCGACGTAAAGGCAATGATTTGCAAATCAAGGGCAGCATTCCTACATTTGAAGAACACGTGAAACCCAAAACAACTGTCTGTCAACTAATATTGAAGTCAGAATCTTTAGTGTGAGCGTCAAGACATTTCGACTATATAGAGCTGAAACTTGGAGAACTACCACAACCATTGTCAAAACAATGCAAGTATTTATAAACAACGGTCTTCGCAAGATACTCAATGTCCGTTGACTGAAAACCATCAACAGCAGCCTACTGTGAGAGAGAACAAACCGGATTCAAGTTCAAAAGGAAATGAGGGAGAGACGTTGGGAGTGGACAGGACATAGGTTGAGGAAATCACCAAACTCCATTACGAGGCAAGCGCCAACTTAGAATCCTGAAGAACAATCGAACAGAGGAAGACCAAAGAACACGCTGCGTCGAGGACCAGAATCAGGCATCAAAAGGATGTATAACAACTAAAAACAACTGGAAAGGGTTGTCTAGGTCAGAGTTGGATAGAGAATGGTGGTGGGAGGCCTATGTTTCGCCATGAGGGGTAACAGACGTAAGTTGTTGGATATAATTGAAAGAAAACCATGGACTAACACTTGGTGATAATTGGTAATCGTTATCCAAGTGTAATTTTGCAATTCAGGGAGAGCTGATGACACCAGCATAGTTTGGATCCATATTACAGAGAGAAAGGTTAGTACCAACCAAGTCTGAGTACTAAGTTACAGCCATTTACTACTAAGAAATATCCAGCCCAACTGTTAGTACTAACTGGATTTTACTGGTAAAGTTGCGCGGTATACCTCTGGTTACTATGATCTGATGAATAAACGCAAATATTTCCGTCCTACAGTATATCGCTTACCGCCAGCAAGTTCTTTAATAGCAGGGTGACAAAATAAAATATCTTCGAATCTAAAGGGGGCCATCGTTTACCTTAATATTGCAATATCTCTTGCCTGACAACTACTGATTAACGCGAAACCTATTTTAACCATTCATTATCAAACAGAAGATCAACATGCTAACTGATTTAGCTTACTGATAGTATTGCACCTTGATCGACAGAATTCAATCAGAACCATGATATAACGCATTATAAAATCATACACACAACACTGAAAGGAGTGAAGTACAATAACGAATCAACTGGAGGATAATATAAATCCTTCCTCACAGATACAGATAAGTAAAAAAGTTACCGATCAGGGTGATCTAGTTACTATAAAGAGGTTTGGGTGGCAGTGCTAATAATTAATGATGATTATGAATACGTACATCAGTAATTTGTGTATCACCCAATATTTATTTATCCAAGTTTCACTCTACCTGCTATGTTGAGATATTAACTAATATAACTAGTATACTTACGTTTTACTATCAATTTGTATTTCCAACCTATTACAATATTTCATTGTTAGGACTGACTCATAAATTGTATTGAATCGCTCAATATTTCCCATTCTCATATATTCTGCATACTATAGTAAGACTTGATAATCTGATTAAAAACGATATCGCTCGCTTACATATGCTGTTCTTATTTAAGATAATAGTGGATTTTTAACTCAGAAGTTTATTCAATTTATTTTAAATAATAAATCTCTAACATCTTAAAATGGTTAACCATATCATAAACAGATAGTCTATTTTCCTAAACTAATAATAACAGACAGAACAAACAAACATGATATATTTAAATGCTCTTCTATAAAATGTATGACAACGATAAGTATTACACGAACCAAGACTTTATACAACTAATTTTTACTGATTTGTTGAAATGAAATAGAAAACATCACGATTATCACAGACAGACAATTTAATGAACTAATCAACTAAAGAAGGTAATCAATAGGACTCATTCGTTCTAACCCAGTGTTTGTTCACATAGGCGCATAAGAAATGTACACAAGCTTTTATCGCCTAATGCTAAGGTAGGTACTTTTCAAACAGGGAAAGCACACCGCATTGTATCAATATTTTCGTATAGCTAACCAATCTTACGGTTAAGTTTAAGCATCTATATCAAAGTTATATGATACCAAATTACTTTAATGAGTAGCGGATCACTTAGAAACACTATATTTGTTTTGTTTTTTTTTGAAAAGTAAAAAATGATGGTCATCTGTACAGGTGCGATTAATTTTTAACCATATCATATAGTTTAACTTATACTTGTTTTGTTTGAGACCGACAGTCAGTTACTTTACATGTTGATCTGGTCATAACTACCTTTCCAACCTATTCTTAAGTTATTGAACAAAGAGAACCCAAGTAAGATGTCTTAGTCAACTTAGCCAATGGAGATCTATATCAGACTGTCGAAGGGCAAATATCAAGGGAATGAAAATAACTAAGTGTGAATAAGTAATATTTGATAAAAATTATAATCAATGTTAATTAGCCGATGTTAAATATATTCTAACTAGCGGGTATTTATTAAACATCCCTCAAACGAACAGATTATTGATTGAACTGTTAGTGCAACAATTACCTCTGATTTTTTTTAAGACATGCATTGAAAACATAGACATACTTTTTTATTAGTGAACTGGATTATGAGTGCCGTAACACTTCTACAGGCACATACAAGTCGTACAGCGAATAGATGGGTTTCCCTTCAGAGTTTATTTTTACTGAAAACATAATACATATTTTACAATTAGGGTTTCCTAGTCATCATGTACTCTTATTGAGTTAAATTTATTAATATAGAACTATAATCAACACATGAAACACAAAATGTTAACCAATAATGTTCATCAACATCGTATACAGAGAACATGATGCGTATATCGGTTGAAACTGCCACACCACATTAACAGGGTGAGGTAAAATTTCGGAGTAGCAGTCCCAGTATTAGTAGAAGAAAAGACTCGATATGGAAAAAAGAAATATGTGAGATCCCGAAACTGAAGGTCTAGAGTAAGACTGGGAGTAAATGCAATTCCATCGTTGCGAGCGATACTCTGTCATGTTACCCAAAATCTGCATCCATTAGTTACGATAATTTCGCGGATACCAACCAGGTAGTCTACACCTATTAGTATGGCTTAGTCCAATTGTTAATAACTTCACAGACTGGTGACACCTCTGAGTTTGACCACACCTATTTTTATCCCAGTCTACTCATACACTAGTCATCATCATCAAGGTAGGCGGTGTTCAGGGATACGTGACACATGACCCAACTACCTTGGTTAATAAAGATTCACTGCCCCATCAATCGATTTGCCTTTACATGCGAATACCACATATTCTTAACGGATGCGTTCTGCAACCATAAAGTAAAACCGAGTGAACTGCTCTGTGGTATAATCGTCTTTTGGTTGAAAGACTGGAATCTCACATCACAAGTGACTAACAACGGCTCAACATCAAGAAAATTAGTTACACATATACTGATAGTCCAATAATTTTGTAAGTCCACGTAAAATGCATGCTATTAACACCTCCTTTAAGCAGTCAGTCATGATCAACGTGAAACCTGACAAAAGTGTGCAGTAGTTCCAGTTGTTACACTACATAACAGCGACATAAAATTACCAAGACAAATAAACAGCTGTAGTAGTAGTGTCGGTGGTATTAGATAGATTAAATTAGATGGATAATACGATTCGAAAAGAAATGATGAGTTATTGGTATGAAAAGTTAAAAGTATTTTTGGAACTCAAGACCTAAAGTAAGATAAAGAGTAAATCCATATGTACTCAAAAGTATCTTGTTTAGTACAATTGAACTTTTTAAGAAAATTCCAGTGAGATATCTGTACTCGAAAACCAGCCAGTTTGCGTTATTTTACACTTACTCTTGAAACCATATGATCAATCTGAGGATTTCCGAATACAATCACAAATAAATATGTAGAAAAGTGACAGAATTTTTACTCACAATCTATTCATTGTTTCAACAAATCATTGAATTACCACATAGGAAAAACAGGAATAACTGCAGTATATACACAAAAAAGCTTAAAAATAAATCACAAAGACGGTAAGTAGGCAATATAATTTCGAGTTATCTTTGTTACAGTTCTATATAAATCCAAACTCACACCATCCATAAAGGTAAATGAAAACGCTGTAAGGTGATAGTGTTTTTTATCATCCGATATACTTAACTCCCCAATAAATTGTATCAAGCGTTCATTAGCTGTCTGACTTGAAAAACATTGTTTCTGATTTTCAGTTAGATATTTTACATTGACGATAACGCAAGGAATAGCACTACCTTGAAATGGGGACAACAGTTCAACCAGATTGCTATCAGCTTTGAATGCAGAAAATCTACATGCCATATATGAAATAAATAAAGGATTTGTAAAAAAGTGGCAAAATGAGAAATCAAGCTTTCATTCAAAAGTTCAACGTACCTACAATCTAAACAGACTTCTAAATAGAAGGCAAATATTAACTTTTAAATAATTATGACACTGAGCTACGAAACACAAACTCCTGTCCGCACATTCAGCAATCAAGCAATTCGAAAGTGTTTAAGATATGCTACAGTGTGATAATAATCTACCAAATCTAGGCGAAAAATTCGACTGACTTACCAGGATAAGGAATTTACACATATAACCTATATATTTCCTTAGAGCACTAGATAGGGAACATGTTGAAATAACTAGCCTATGGTTGGAGAAGTTTTAGTTAGCTGGAAACATGTTGATAGACGAGAACAAGTCAGTATAGATGAAAATTATTAACACTTTAATCCGTACATATTGACTGTAATCTTGACACAGGCTGCTTGATATATTTAGTTGGAAAGTTTGAATGCTTAACTTTGGTTACTAGGAATAACTGGTTCAGGAGTAGAATCTTCATAAGTAATAGGCCATATATAATCATAAAAGTACTTAAGACGGTTATTTTTGTAATTTTTTATTTATGCTTCACTCAACCTAGACTCAACATGTATGCAAGCACAATACATAATTAAACCAATAAACTAGTACACATACCTGCCCAGTAGACGAATATTTAGAGTTTTGTTGCTGGTAATTATGGAGCGAAAAACCTTTTCTTTGGTGTATAGTTCATCAAAAAGGACATAGGCTGCGGGACCAACCTGATGATTTAAGTAGAAAAATCAAATATAGAAGTATTGGTCAAGCACGCATATCCTACACAGTACCTGATAAATGTGCCGCTTCAAGTCCCCATATCCCATTAGGACAGCAAGATCAAATTACCAAGACGAATCCCAGAGTAGTAGAAGCAATAACAATATTGGTAGCAGTAAGAAAGCTCGGGTGTTAAAAAATAAACAGAAAGGTATAAGATTTCAGGACATAAGAAATAAGGGTAAGTAAAGAGTAGAAATATCCAAAGTACAACCATTGAATATAAAGCTATCTAAAAATTATGCAATATTTGATCTTCTATTGGGACCTGATATGCTTTTGGAAATATTTGTCTTAGTAGTACTATTTATTGACACTCAAAAGTACAGTTAGGAGCAAACAAACTAAATGCCGGTTATAAAATACACAACGCTAAACAAATATGATGTGCAAACTTCAAAGATTGACGACAAGGTTGGTAACAAACTTATTTGCCAAACCGAGATAATGAAATTGGAATGTACAGAAAAACAAGAAAAACACTAGCCATTCCTTAACGTGAAGAAACGTCAAAAGAAACCAAACGGATTTTAAACAAACGTGAGATGAAAACCACTAGACTGACACTGATAGAAGCGAAAATGGGGTTCCAGAAGGCCAACAGTGACACTACTTGCGCAACTAGATGTAGTAAATTTAACCATTAAATGTGGAAGAACTCAAGTAGCTGTACGTTATGGTAAAGGAGTACAATGTTTAATACATATTTTTAAATCCTTGGAAGACCTCAAGAAATTTAAGAACAAATGCTTAAATGCACTCTACTAGTTAGAATGAGAAGATTGACTCTAACGGAGCCAAAATACTTCGGAATCTTTTTATTTATCAGGATTAACAAACAAAGCACTGTCGAGCCCAAACGATCAGTAACGTGACACTGACAATAACGAATATTAGGCTATTTGGTGAATTATTCTGTTTTTGTCATGTCTATCAATCACATATTCGTGATCATTTTTTCGCATTGGCATTTCACGGTTAATTATTTCATATAACTTACCTGTCTTTGTGTGAATGCACATTCTTATATTTCTCGTTAGTAACTTGTAGCCCACCGAGTGGTTGATAAGTACTTATGGTCCTAAAATTTGACACATAAACGTTGGTGTGAAATGTAAGTCTTACAATTGGACTAATTACCAGACTTAAGTCTCGTCTACACAAAACCCGAGGACTTCGTAGTGTAATATTGATGTATCTGCATCATGAGTGTCATAGTGAAACCTTATATACTTTGCAATCGCGACTCAAAATACGACTAGTCAGTCGCATTACGTTACATTGTCAGTGAAATAAGCTACAAAGAAAAGCTGTCTATGGAGACTTCTAGTTTTGACACAAAACATTTTCTCCTTAAAAAGGACATTTTACCGACAAAATATCTAGAAACTAATGTTCGGAAATGGCAAAAGGCATATGCCTTTTAAATATTTAAATAACCTAAACATTTAACGAATTACATAAACTCAAAACTTACCGTGTCGTCCATTTTTATAACATTGACAGCGAGCAATGCAACAAAACAGTTCTGTGTAAATAAACGGAAAAGTAGTCAGATATTCTATTCGAGGGAAAAATACTAGGATACAAAGGTCAGAGAGAAAATTGAACGGTAAAATAATGACAGGTCTGTGGAGATAGGCATGACAAACTTATTTTGCAAGTGGTTTTTGATGTTATTTGTTTTTATTCTGTTAATTTTGGGCCAAACGAAACATTCTGTAATCAGTTTTGTGGTGGCCCTGATTCCGGGATGGGCGCAACCGAGAAGCTTAACATAAATAGCTCGTTTAGGATTTTTGTGCATGGTTCGATGAATGTACCGGAATATTACGAGAAATATGCAGAGAACCTTGTGAATAAGCAAAGTAACGCCCTTTAAAGGTTTGTTACGACCTTCAGACTAGCCAAATAAACATTAGGGAAACAAAGTTAAGAAACTTTGAGTGAACCTCAGTGAAACCAGCAAAATAACAAATAACGTAGGGCTTTAGGTTACTATGATGCTTGACCACACTTCATTAATGACCTTCGAGTGACCTTAAAGCGGTCTTGGGAATTTTCAACTAAATATTATGATCAAAATAGTGAGAAGAATCAGGATAAGGCGTGAAAGATTTTTATTAGGGTCAGGAAATAAGGTTGAAGTTTTCATCCAGATATAGCACCAGCAATAAATCCCAAATGCTGTGTGAGTAAATGAATTTCGTGGAACAATTTATGGTTCTCGACCTTAAATTTTACTAGTTTATTCATATTTAACGTAACTCCCTTGACCCTAAGCATCCTAAATGGAACTCCACTAACTACAGCAGGACTGAACCCTGTCATGCCTTTACAAAATCTCTGTACCCCGTGATTTCTTTGCATGTCATTTCCTGACCTCAGCTACATAGCATTTTCATAACCCGAAATTCGGCAGGTGACCTAAAAATAAACCATGGTTAGAATCTAACAAACCAGTAACAGCTTTCCATAAAATTGTGTGCGGTGGCAGTCGAGTTGTAATTCCATCTAAGAAATCGCGCATAAGTTTGTTCTGATAGATTGAGATTATTTTTTCATGACCGTCACTATGATTTCGTTTGTAGCGGTAAATAAATCCTCAAAATAAATAGCTCTGTATGTTTTCGACATTGGGTGCTGACTAAATGTTTTAGTGGACTCATCTAGCTGAAGGCGCTCGGTCATGCATCCTCAGCAGATCACGTGTGGTAACGCTGTGCTCAACATCTACCGCAATTGCTAGCCAGATTAGATCAGAGAATTATGATATATTGGTTATCGCCAAATACACTCTTCCGATCTCTTCGACTCTGTCTTTTGATTTATCTCGGTGGGTACAAATTATATTAGAAGGTGTTGCTGGTAAAAGCGTTGTCAAACACCGAATACCTGTGCCATCTTCATTGGTGAGCCTAACGTGATCTGGTACACCGAATTGCAACTGTGAGTCTGTTCCTTTTTGGGAATTTTTTATATATTATTGCCTTATTTTTTTATTTTTTATACATTGTGATATTTTTCCTCGTGTCTCAGGATATCTATATATTTTTCACTCGTGTATTCTCGTACTTAATATTCCCCTATGACCGAACAGATTCCTAAGGTATTTAAGATTAAGACCATGTCCCCGCCCTCGTTCCAACTCATGCCCTTCTGGCCCGACAATATCGAAGCCTGGTTCTGTTACGAAGAAGTCGACTTCCACGAGCACGGCGTGAACGACACACGTGCACAATTCTTCACAGTAGTCAAGGCACTACCGCGCGAATTCAACAGGTACGTAACACCTAGTATGTTTACTAGTGATGTTTCCGATCCTTACGAAATCTTAAAACGCTCGATTCTTAAACGAGGAGACCTAACCGATCGAGAAAGTTTAGATCAACTCTTTAGTAACATAGACCTGCAGCCTGGTTCTGCGACGGACATGTTGCAAAGGATGAGAGAGGTTATCGACCAAAGAACTTTTGACGAAGGCCTATTCAAACAACTTTTCTTGTCTAAACTTCCCCAACAGGTGCAAGCGGTTCTGGTCTCTCTTCAGAACAACGCCTTAGACGAACTGGCTGCATGTGCCGATCGCATCTTAGAAATCACCAAATCTTCTATTACCGAGGTTTTTCAGTCAAAGAAAAGCCTCAAACTACTCAGAATGACATAACCGAGTTATTTCAACGGTTAAGATCATGAGTCAGTGGAAGCTAGACCACCATGGAAAACATGGAAGCACTGAACGGCCGTTTCGTCCTATTGCGGGACTCCTCAGCAGTGCACATCCACGACCTCGCCTCCTGCGAGATTCGAACCCAGGACCTACTGTTTTCGCGCCCGAGCACTTGATCACTAGACCACTGAGCCGGCATCCAACGGTGTTAATGTCTAACTTCAACCAATTCACGAAGTTGCGCCACCGTACACCATTGTCTTCAGTGAGTTCCTGTCACACAACAGGCCTGGTTGGACTCCACTGGTCACTGCCTCTCACTAGAACTTCAGGAAATACCTCATGAAGCCAGTCACTAGTGAGCATAGGTTGATCAATATCAGAAGGGTTTTTGTGTTTACTATAGTAATCTCAATGGTTGATAATTTCATTTAAAAATTAACGTATATTTATATTTACGGAATTTGTAGAGGTAGTTAAAGTTGTAGTTTATATCATAAACTAACCCATAAAGCACTAATTTCGTGTTTCGTTTCAGTATAAAACATGCATACAGGACATACAAGACCCTAATAAGAGTCGATATTCAGGCCTTACAACGAATACTATACTTACAGACCATTCAGTTAGCATTCAAAGGCTTACATTACTTACTCCAACTACTGAGGAGTCCTACAATAGGACGAAACGGCCGTCCAATGCTTCGAGGTTTTCCATGGTGGTCTAGCTTCAACAGACTTATGATCTTAACCATTTAAATCACTACAATCTCCACAAAAACCCATCTGATAATAATAACCGAGTTATGTCATACACTTACACGTTATCTTAATTTTCGTAACGACCGTAAGCGATCGCACACCCCACGTAGAAGCATTTCACGTAAGCGATCTGTCTCTAGACAACGAGAGACGGATAATCCCGACTGGTGTTGGTATCATAACCAGTATGGAAAGTCTTCCAAAAATTGCAGAAAACCCTGCGACTCGCAAAACGATTCGGGAAACTTCCAAGCCGGCATGCGTTAACGACAACCGTAGCCGGCGAACATAGCCGTCTGTTGTACGTCACAGATGTGACAACGAGAGTTCGCTACCTCGTCGACACTGGCGCAGAAGTTAGCGTTCTCCCAGCAAATCCTAACGACCGGCTTCACGAATCGGCTCTAAACTTACAGGCGGCAAACGGAAAACCTATCGCTCCGTATGGCAAAAGGTACGTTTACCTTAACGTGGGTTTACGCAAACCCATCCACTGGATCTTCGTTGTTGCAGATGTTTCTATGCCAATCATTGGTATGGATCTTCTACAACACCATAGTCTAATCATCGATAGTAGACGGTAACACTAATTTATCCGTTTGCGTAACTTCTTTTTCCGGTTGCAGATTATCCCCAGCCACAATCAAGCATACGATAGACCCACTTTATCAACCGCTACTCGATATGTATCCAGGGATACAACAAACGCAATCAAAACTACCGTGTGTAACCAGCAATGTTACACATCACATCACGACTACAGGACCACCTGTAAGCCCCAAAACACGACGACTAACCCCGGAAAAGCTGAGGTTGGCGAAAAACAAGTTCGATCACATGGTAGACTTAGGAATCATACGACCGTCAAATAGCCCATATCCATCTCCATTGCACATGGTCCCTAAAAAGGATAGCAACGATTGGCGTACAACTGATGAATATCGGCGATTGAACGCGAAAACCATTCCCGATCGTTACCCGTTGCCTCACATTCACGATTTGACAGCTACCTCGAAAGGTACAACTGTCTTTTCGAAAATTGACTTGGTTAAAGCGTATAACCAAATTCCTATGGCTACTGACGACGTTCCGAAAACAGCCGTCATTACTCCCTTCGGACTCTATGAATTTTTGAGAATGCCTTTCGGTCTAAGAAACGCTGCACAAACATTCCAAAGATTCATAAACGACGTTTTTCGAGGTCTCAACTTCGTACATGCGTATGTTGACGACTGTCTAATCGCAAGTCTGGACAAAGAATCGCATCTCCAGCATCTGGACCTTGTTTCGGAACGACTACAAAAACAGCATTACTGTAAACGTTCAGAAATGCCAATTCGGAACCGACTCATTAAACTTCCTAGGACACAATATAGATGTTCAAGGCATTCAACCCCTTAGAACCAGAGTGGCGGCAATTCTGGATAATGCAGAACCAACCACGATAAAGCAACTACGAACGTTTAACGGCCTTGTAAGTTGATATAGACGATTCATAGCGAACTGCGTGTCACTTATGAAGTCACTAACCGACCGGTTTCTCGGAATTGCATAATCCATCAATTTGGACGAAACCTCACGAAAAGCATTCTCCACAGTTAAGGAACTTATCGCAAAGGCAACCATGCTCGCACATCAGGACACCCGAGCACTCATTATTGTCGCAGTAGACGCATCCGACTCAGCAATCGGAGGAGTCTTACAACAATGGGTTAACAACTCTTGGCAACCCTTGGCATTTTTCTCTAAAAAGTTGGTAGACACCGAACCAAGGTACAGCACATTCTGTAGGGAACTCCTAGCTATGTGTTGTGCTGTACGGCACTTCCAACACTATATCGAAGGCCGTGAATTCACTCTTTTCACTGACCATAAACCGCTCACTTTCTCGTTAAGCTCTCCTTCTGACAAGTACTCTCCCCGTGAGTCTCGACAACTGGACTACATTTCGCAGTTTACTTCAGATATTCAACATACATCTAGAGCAAACAATGTAGTTGTAGACGCCTTATCTCGCATAACTTCCTTGAACAGTTTCCAAGGAATCGACCATCAACC